TGCCGGCTGGGCTTGAACCACGACAGATGGGAAGAATTAAAACACAGCCAGGTGTGTGCAGGAAAGTCATTCTTGAGATTCCTGCTAGCAAACCTGCTGCCGCATGAATGCACTCGGCAGGAGCCATTCTGTTCTGCAGATGAAGTCCATTATTTTAAAAGAATCCACTGCCAAGTGATCCGAAGGAGCACTTGCCTTGGTTGTATAAAAGCAATGTTTCATCCTTCCTCTTGAGTTTTATTTACTGAATTTTGTTAAGTGCCATTTCCACAAAGCTCAGGTGCACATTTCATAAAGCATTGCACAGGTTTAAGGTGTGCACCTCAGACGTCATTGCAGCTCCATTTTTCAGATGAGAATGAAACAATTCCAGCATCTAGAAATAGCCTTATTGCTTCAGCTCTTACAGTATCCTCAGCCCTTGATCATCACTTTAGCCAAACAATATTGATTTTCCAGTAAAGGATGTCTTCTTCAGCAAGTAGTTTGGAGTGTTATTAAGTATTTCAGAATGGGGCTGACAAGCGTAGAATGGCTCAGATGGAGCCTCCTATTGCTTGTTCAAATGGGGGTACTAACAGGTGATGGCTCACTTTGGGTGATGTTTCAGTAGAGTATTTGGTATCAGTTGTTGATCTGTGTATACTCCAGAACCAACAGCTCCCTTTAATAAATTACACAAACAACCTAGTGAGCAATAGCCCTTCCAGTCTAATTAAGTGTGCTGGAGGATTTTTGCTGTTGCAGGGTTTAAACCATGTGAGTGCTCCTATTGGGTTGAATCATCAAAGGAGGTGAGTGGAAATGTCCATTCCTTATGGGCAGGCTCCTCTCCTGGCCTCTTCAGAGAAGCCAAAAATTTCTGTGTTCATGTAATTGGGCATTAATTAAGAATCAGTAAATTCACTATCTCTAGTAAAAGGCATAAATATCTGTCCCCAAGGGTGCGTATTAATCTTTTATGGTACCCACCTCTTCTCCAGCTTTGTTTAAAACACACTTTTCTGTGTGGCTCTGCTCTTGCCTCTGAGCTTCTGTAGAGATGTGTACAGAGGAGATATCCATCTGTCTTCCCATAACTGGGGATACTATTGTTGTCCAAAGACCAAATTTGCATCTTTGAAGTCTTTTTATGTAGAATCAACTGGGTTTCTTCTGTAATCTGCTAACATCAGCGATGGGTGTCTCTGTTCCCTTCTCTCATTTCATAGGGTGGACAGTGTGGAGATGGATTACAAGTCCGCAACCTTACATGTGTAGTGCATGATGCATCTGTTTCTGCTACATCCAAACCAGTAGAAAATGCTTTATGTGGAGAACTGCCATTGAAGGAGAGTGTGCTGCAGTTACCATGCTCTTTGCCTTGCCCAGGTAAAGTCTCTGGAAAGCCATCGTGCATTTCTGCCTTTATAGCTGTCTTGATATGGAGATGCTTCCATAGCTCTGAGTAGTGTTAGCCCCAGTGGTAAGAATTTGTACTTAAGGTAAATCAGGTAAATGCTGATCAGGTAAATGTTCAGCCTGCTGTTTCTAGATCACCTGAAAAAGCCTTTGTTTTTTGAGAAAATGAGATTCCCTGTAAAGAGCAAATCTGAATATTGCATGCCAGTAAGCGATAAACTGTGGGTATTTTACTATTAAAGCTGTTGTGTGCTTGGATTCTCTTTATCCTTTAAAGCTGAGTCCTTTTGAAAACCTGTGATTTATTTTTTCAATGTGCAGGTGACTGCCACCTGACAGAGTGGTCAGAATGGAGCTCCTGCGAGCTCACCTGCATCAATGGCAGGAGCTTTGAGACAACAGGACACCAGGCTCGATCCAGGGCATTTATTATTCAGTCTCCTGAGAACCAGGAGGGCTGCTCTGGACAAGCAATGGAAACACGGCCTTGCTCAGGTAACATGGCCACAGTGCTGCTTCCTCTCACTAGAGTTTATTCTGGTTTTATTGCAAGATAAAGACTAACTGGTATTAATATTGCAGGAGGGAAGTGTTATGACTACCTGTGGAAAACCAGCCTATGGCGCGACAATGTACGCACAGTGTGGTGTCAGCGCTCAGATGGAATAAATGTCACAGGTACATCAACAAATTGTCATGCACGATTATGAATGAAAAGTGTCCATCCAGGTTCTTCTTCCTGCACACATCAGCTGCTCAGAGGGAAGTTGGACGTCCTTCCTAACGCCTCCAGACTTTCAGTTCAGATTTGCATGTAGGAAAGGCAGATGGGATCTCACCAGCTTTGCTGACAGGTCAACGCCACACATGTTACATGAGAGTGTTTGGGTCAGTTACCCCTACTGTTGGGTTGGTCGTGGGAAGAAACGAGTACATATATACTAAAAGGGCTGCCTGGGCTGGCTTGTGCAGCCGTTAGTGCAGCCTTCCTGTGACAGTGGAGAACAGAAGAGAATGCACCACATGGCAGGGAGCCCAGCTTCTATGCCTCTTCTTCTATTCAACACACAGGAATCTCAAATCACTCAAACTGTGAGATGCCTACTGCTGCCATGACCTACAAATTCTGCCTGCACAGGATGAAAAGGGAAACTCATGGTCAGCACTTTGAAGCTCCGTGAGAGACTGACAAAGACAGTAGAGCTTGCGCATCTGTAGGTTCTCTCTCAATATGCACAGGGTGAACGAAGACAGAGTAGAAGTGAAAATGCAGATGTTCTTACCTAGTTCTATTTATAATGACTAGTTAAGATAATAACAAAAGTTTTATGTGCAAAGGTTGCTGAGCAGTTAAGAACTCATTAGCATGTTTTTATTCCTATAGAAGCACAGACTTCCCCAAGTGAGGATGGGCAAAGGCGTTATGTGGATTATGTCTTCTTATGCAGATAAGACATTAATGAGGACACAGAAGATCTGCATCTAATTCCCAATTCTGTACCCAACTTCATATGTGGCCTGTGGCAAATTGCTTATATCTGTATATCTCTGTTCTCCATTAACAAGATGGGTATGATAATAATTCCCTGCCTTGTTAAGGCAAATTAATTAATGCAATGCCTACAGATATTATGCTAATGTGCTCAATAGCCTAGTATTTAACTATATAAAGTAAGCAAGCTACTGTGATCCAAGTCAAAAACATTTTAAAGCATGCCCTTGAAGTCACTCCGTATTTTCTTTTATAGGAGGGTGTGCTCTTCAGACAAAACCTGCAGAAGTTCGGTACTGCAGCCCAGCATGCACAAAACCATTCTCCTACTGCACACAGGTAACTGCTCCCTGCAGAATATGGTTGAGAAATTAACACTGCAAAATCTATTCAATTAGCCAATGTATGCATTCCAGGACCTAGAAAATATTTTAGTGTGTCCATGGTACCACCTCGAGGAAGTTGTGGGAATTTCAGTCTGAAAGGAAACCTGTTTATCTGCATAAACAAGTGATGGAGTATTTATGTGGTATTACGAGTTTGCTTTGTTTCTGTGGAGGGGCTTTGGAACCTCTTGGTTTAATTTTCATTGAATGCTATTGAACAGTCCTGTAGAAAATGGACTGTTTAAAACTTCTGTAGAAAAGGAGATAAAAGAGTATGTCCTCTCCTGCTCCTCCGTGGACACAGAAAGCCTTCATGAGTGTAGGGAGCATCATGATCCCACAATCTCCATACTATCTTCTAAAGCAGAACCTGGAAGTGACATTTTTGCTGAAAAGTTGAACATCTGCAACACTTGCTGAATTGTGGATCCACTGCCAATTCTTTTACTCTGAGCAAACACAAGACAAGAGATTGTGAATTTCTCTTCCTGCAGTACTGAAGTCCAGAGTAAAAACTTCCCAAAATGCCTTATACGTGTCAGTACTGTGATGGAGTATAAACCCAGAACACTTAAAGTAGCCAGGGGCAGCTGGGATTTAGCTATTTATGTTTTGAAAATAGCCTCCACAGCTCTCAGATTCAGCTCAGAAATTACGATTGAAACTACCTCATGGGCAACTGAATGTGGCTGAGAGGGTGGTCATGGGAGTGCTCGGAGCCTACAGGAACGTAAAAATAATAAGCAAGCATGAATTTATTGGCTGTAAAAACTCTTCAGACTTCACCATTTCACCAAAAAAGCTCGGGATCATGTCTTTCAACAAACGGGGGACATAATGGCAACAAAACTGATGTTAAAAGTTAACTTCTTATCACAGAGGTTGTAAATCAGTCACCTGTTTGGATCATAACTGAGGGTATCAGACTCTCAGACAGGCACTGTAATTATAAGAACATTAACAAAACAAAGGAAAAAAGGTCTAAAAAAGCTATTTAAAAGTAGAAGTCCAGAAAATTAATTATCTATTTAGCAAACCACAGACTTCTAAGAAATCTCTTGAGGAAACTGCTTAGGCTGACCCAGGGCAGTGGATATTTGGCCATAAGAAAGCAAGCTTCATTTCAGATAGCCCTGTTAGATAATGGAGTGGAAATACACTAGTATGGTTTGGGTCTGAAGTGGGATTGGTTTTTGTTCATCTCTTCTAATGCCCAGCAGGGTTAGTGGGAAATTTTTTACTGAGGATTTTGAATCAAGCCACAGATGCCTGTTAAGCCTGCTAGGATGAAAATTTTTGTATGTTGGGCTTCTCTGTAATTACCAACTCTTTTTCAACCAATTCCCCAAATATATTTTTGGGTTTTGAACTGAAGGGTTTACAAACACTAGTTCCTGGCTTGTTTGGTTTGGTGGTTAAATTGCATGTGCAGGATATACCTTGCATTTTTATTCATGGTATGCCTACAATTTGCACTGTTCTGTGAGACGATATTATTTGGTTTAATACTGAATTCTGTTTTATTGCCTAGAGAGGAGTCTGCGGTTGTGAGCGAGGATATACAGAAATAATGAGATCAAATGGTTTCCTGGATTACTGCATGAAGGTACCAGGTTTAGAAGATAAGAAAGCTGATGTTAAGACCATTGCTGGAAAAAATAAACCTGTCAACTCAAAAATGCATGACATTTTCAAAGGATGGTCTATTCAACCTTTTAATCCAGGTGAGAAACTTAAATATGAATGGAATAAATTGTCTTTACAACGTTTCTATAGAGGAAAGGTACAAGCTTTGTAGATCATAACATCAGAGATTGTGTCTGGGAACTGCAGAGCAACCTCCCAGTTTCTAATTCACATGCTGTCTTTCATTCGTTTGTGCCTATACAGAGTAATCACAATCTCTTGTGTTGAAAGATAGCAAAGACAGAATGAAGAAAAAATATTTTGCAAAAGTATTCTCATGTGTGATTTGGGGGGATGCTTAGAACTTTTATCTGATGATGTTTCTAGAAGTAATACGTTTGGACCAGGGAAGATATTGATCACTAGCACTTTAGAAGATTCAGAGCAGAGTACTTAAGATTTCATTACAGAAAACATTGGTTGCTTCTTGCCATATTTCCAAAGTGTGTGAAAAAAACAGGATAGAAATTGTAGAGTTTGAAGTGTTGAAGTTAAGACATTAAAAAAAACCAAAAAAACTGAACACAAGAAGCAGGCAAGCTGCTGTGCCCAAGGAGTGCATCACAGGTGGATCTCTGATTTCCACATCATAAAATGCTTCCCAGTTGGGACCATGTTCCAAATGTGCCCACACTGGTCCACAGGACTTGTGCTGTAGCTGTAATAGCTGATTACCGTTTTGAGGGGGTTTTTTTTCAAAATTGATTTATTCAAAATACATTTCTAGAATGCAAACAGGACTTTAGATTGAGGATGAAGGTGTCAGGCACATTGAGTTTTACTGAAACGCATTAGTTCTCCCCATATTCATAAACACTGGCAGTACAGTCTTCCCCCTCTTCTGTTACCTGACATTGCATTTGTTTCCTATTAGTTTGTAATGAACACAAGACTTCAGAAAACATGTAACGAACAGTTCTGTTACAGGATTCAGGGAGCCATAATTCTATCTGATATATGTGATCGCACTTTGAATGTTACATTTGCATATTTGATTTGCATAGAGTAATTAACCTTTGCATTGACAGTCTTCAAGCTCATAGAGCTTGGCCCAAAGCCTTTTCAAGTTGGCTGGATTTCGATCAAGCCCATCATCCTGAAGCCCATGCAGTTCACCAGCAGTTTGAGTAACAGATTTGGGGTTAATTGCCTTTTTGTCAGCTTCTGTGGCCCGCTGTAGGCTGTCTTACTTAGGTGTCACCTCTTCAGCTGGTACCTTTACAGGGTTAGAAAAAGGGAGAGAGGTGTAGGTGGATGCTGCAATCCTCTTTTTAAATCAGCATTTGAGGTTGCAGCTCTGAAAGCTTTTGGTGGGCTTGACCTCAGTGCAGCATCTGTGAGCCAGTTCTCCCCCAGGGACTGCAAGACAGAAAAAGGGACTAAGGAGCTTTTACAGAACATGGCATTATTTAATTTTAGGGCAGAAATGTTATAGAAGCAATATACGGGGAAGGAATAACCATGCTCCGTATGTGCTAAGTGTATCACCAACCCCATGGCATCATGCAGGTAACTCTTCAGTCTGTATCAAGGCTGGTGCTCTTCAAATCACTCCCCTTTGTCTAACTTCTTGACAAAATATGTAATTCCCTTAAATGGGCTCTCAGGCTTACTAGTCTGGGGGTTTGCAATAATTACTGCTAGCTGAGCCAGGAAACTGCTGTTACTTACCAGTTACACTCTTGTTAGCAGGCCTATGGTGAATGCTCCCTGCATGGATGGCTTTTATTGCCCTCCAGTACCATAGTCCTTGATATTCGTGTACGTCTAAGGACTTATATCTGTCAGTAAAAATATACATGCCTTTCTCCAGTGCATTTCTGATTTCCCTTCCTGTTTACAGTTTGGAACACAAATTTTATTATGATTTAATAAGGCTGCTGGTTTTGGTCTTTCAAATGCTCTGCTGGAGTGCACAGAAGTGATTTTGAATCAGGCTGCGTTTTTCCTTTCTTTACCACACTCTGGAAGGCCAGAGTTCAGATACAGAAACTTTTTTCAACTTGAGAGGCAATTTAAATAGGATTGTTTAAATTGGAGGATGGCATGGTCCAATGCTTTTATGTTGGGGATGGAGACTATAGCTGCCTTCATAGCAGGCATGGTGGGATGCCTATTTGTGGCTGTGACAGTTCCTTCACAGGACTGCTAAATGTTTCTCGGCCATCTCCAGTTGAGAGGTGGCAAATTGCATAGTCAGACTTAAGAAAAAAAAACACAACAAAACTACCCCAGACCCAACGAACGGAGCTCTTCTGGCATGGGGAATAAGCTGTAAGTGTTTTGAGGAGAAGAGAAAATCTGTGAGAGATACTCAGCGTTTCCACAAAGCCGGAAAGAAAAAAGAGAGAGAATGGGATCTGATTAAATATGTTTCCCTTTGAAAAAAATCATCATTCAAACATCAGATGTAAAACAGGCTCAGTGATTGTCCATGAAGTAACTCCCCACTCACATGACTGAATTTGAAATGGCCTCTGTCAAACCATGTCTGTGGGCACAACGCAGGTTCGTATTCCTGCCTCCAGTATGTATTAACAGCTCTGTTGATGTGAATCAGCTCAGATTACTGCTGCATGGAAAAAATACCATTGCTTCTCCCCGCAAGGAAAGCCGTACAGCCAGAATGGAGCAAGAAGCAGAAATACTGATCTTATAAAATTTATTAGTATTAATGCAAAGCTTGTAATTAAGGACATGTCCAAATACCGTTTTGAGACTTTCTATCAGAAGGAAATGTTTCAACACACTCAAATTCACGTGCATGTGGAGATGTTCCTGCAAGGGTCACAGAGCGATCCCACTGTCATTGCAGTCCAAACAGTCCTTTCGAGAGCATTATTTTGTCTTAAAGCCAATTATGTCTCTTGCTTCTCTGGCCTGACTAGAGAATTCTTGCACAACTTTATCCCTCTTACCAATACAAAGCATATTCTTGTTTTTTTTCTAAGCTGAATTTATTCCTATTTGTTACCCAAGCATTTTTCAGCTTGAAGTAGCTAGTTCACTTGTGCTTGCTGGTGTTTTTACCCCAACTGACCCCCAAGTATTTACAGAGAACAATCCCATCCTTTCTCATTCCTCTTTTCATTAGGATAAACCTATCAGGTGTCCCTGCCTTTCTGTCTGGGTCAGCTCAACATTGATCTGCCTTTGCCAGAACAGCCACTGAAGCTCCTGAGCAATGTACTGCGATTATCTCATGCCCCTGCTCCTTTCCACAGGGTTCTATTTCTTGTGCTGCACCAAAAGCCCAGATTGCCTGTAATGAACTGCAGGATCTCAGCCAGAGGAGAGATTATAAAATAATGCTGCTTTGGAAAACTGAGGCAAAGAGTTCATTTTCCGTTTTCATTGAGGAAAATCTATACTCGTTACCCAAGTTAAGATTTTGTCTTTAAAACAATTGATTTTTACAGGAATCTTTTTTTTTTTCTTATCAAAAACGTGGGGTTTATGGATTATTCCCAGCCAGTCCTTGCTTGTTTCCCGTCCATGATGCTACTAGTTTTGCTTGTGTGCTGTTCACTTAGGCTCCTAAGAATCTGTTTATTTTAGAATAAAGTTTTTTATTCTCCCTTTTTCTCCCTCTGTCATTTTTCCTCATCTTCCAACAGATGGTAAACTGAAGATGTGGGTATATGGAGTATCAGCTGGTGGGTTCCTCATCATAGTTTTCCTGATTTTTACATCCTACCTGATGTGGTGAGTGTGGCCTGTATTTTGTCCATAAATAAAAACTAGTTTGCTTTAATTTAAACAATCCAAAATATATCACAACATTCTGTGTTGCAGAGACTTAATCCTCAAGGCTTTATGAAAGCCTTGGATTATTTAACTGTCTTCATTTGGCCCCTATCTCAGAGTAATTTAAAACTCTCGAAATTGTAATGTTAACAGATGTAATTGTGAAGAAGCATGGTGGCCATGTAGACGAGGAATTCTTTTTGGTTATCAGTAGAGCCTTATATTTATTCAGACTTCTGCTGGGATTAGAAAGGGCTTTTTATTGTATTCTTAAAAAATAAAATAAAATAGATAAAGTAAAACTGAAAAAAGGCAAGGAGGCCGATTGGATCGAGGAGCTGGCTTCCGCTCAAGGAAGGACTAAATAGAATAGGGGCATTCAGTTGGAAAATTATGTTTGACGTGGGAATACAATAGAGATCTATGAAATCATGAATGGAGTAGAAAAGGGTGCTAGGGAATTTTTATTTCCCACAATATAAGAAGTAGGAGGCATCTGATGAAATGATCATTTAAAATAAACAAAAGATTTTATTTTTCACGCAGTGAATTATTACCTTTTGAGCTTACTGCTGCTGGGGACTGTGCATGCCAGGAAGATAAATGGATTCAAAGACGGCGTAACAGTTCACGGGAGATTGGGTCTCTTGGTGTTAATTGTGGTTTTCTGGATGTACGCTCTAGCTCAGGAAATCCCTAAATAGGTTTTTGCAGTGAATACATCAGGTGGAAACATGTCCTGTGTCTAAAGCTGCTGTTACCAGCCACTGTTAGAGATAGGGTACTGGATGTATCAAAGCTCTGCTCTACATCAGTGCATCAGTACATAAAGTGGTTGGCTTTACTGGCGGGGGAGATGTCTGCCCTCCTTTAAAGCAGCCATCACCCTGGGCAGTGGTGGTAGACCTGGCTTGACAGAGCTAGTGTTGTGCTATATGGTTTCAGTATTTGGAAAGGCACTGCCATTGATGCATCTTGGAGGATAAGAAGGGAGTGGTGGCTAGCATCCATGTGTCCTGCAGTGCCAATAGCTGTCCCTGAAGACCATGGAGCTGGTCTGGGCTTTACTAACATTAATGGTGTAAGCTGTCGCAACCCCTGTCAGATCAGGGCAGGCAAACAAAGTGTCACAACCGTGGCCTGTCAGCACTACTGCCCTCTTTAATCCAGTATCTATTTATTCTCTCTCACTCTCTTGGTCCTTCTCTCAGTCTCTTTCTTCAGTTAAAAGCTTAAATAACAGTGTTTGAATTCTACTTAGGAGTTGCAACTTCCTTATTTTCCAAGCCATGTAGCTACCATTTCTCTGTGGTTTCACAGTGGAGCACACAGAGGATTTTTTAAATTACATTACGTAGTTCTCCATCACTTGAAGGCTGGTGAGGAAGTGTATTTCTCAATAATAATTATTGTTGCTCCAATACCATGACAAAGAAAAATGAGAATATCCCACTCCTAGACAGTTCATGTTTCAATTTTTCTGTGAGGTGTTCCTTGTTTTGTCAGCTCTGAGAAGACATGGGAAACAAATATGCTTTATTTCCTCTCCAGATGAAGAGCACAGTTGGCTGCCTGTTTTCAGCAGGCTGTGTGTTCATACTACACACGTAATAGCACAAAAGCAGATCCATGTGGCTTTTTTGGAAGTAGTTACTGTACTGCAAGATGCAATAACCAGCATGGGAAGTTGATTTTTTGATAAAGTTTGGGTTTTAATGATGTTTCTGAGCTTATTACAGTTTATAATTTTGTCTCCTGAAATATTTTTCTTGCAGCAAAAAAACAAAGCAGCATCAAAGCACTCCTCCGCAGCAGAAGCCTCTAACCTTAGCTTATGATGGAGACATTGATATGTAACATAAAAAAGAAATCCAAATGTAGACATCAACTGCCTTAACTGCTTTCTTTTTTGGAACTCTCTGACTTCTCAGTTTTTTGAGGAATCTCCTGATGTGTAATATACTGGGCAGAACAGAAGTATTGCAAGCTTAGAATTTTGCCACCTCTTTATTAAAAATAATGGAGTCAAAGACTTGGATCTTGTGAAACTTTTCTGAAGAGACCAGAACATACATCTCTTCCTGTTGAGCAATGGAAATAAAAAAAGAGGAGCATCTACAGACATCAAAAGGAATTAGTACAACAAAAAAAAAAGGCATGACAATCCTGAGGAAAATGTGACATTTACTGTAAATGACAAGTTTGACACAGCATCATTATGCACTATATTAGTGCAGGGTTCTTTATTCTTCACATATTTCAACAATGAGTTTTCTAGTGTTTACATTTCGTTTAAAGACTTTAGAACTGGATCACATATTTTGAGAAACACAAGGAAGAATGAGTTGAAGTGTCTGAAGTTACCAGATTTTTTAAAGTTTCTTCCTTCTTATCCTGTTTTCTAGTCTGGAATATGATTTAGCTTCATTTCCACCTACAGAACAGAATAAGGATTGTTGTGAAAAAAGCATAGGTGGTTTCTTAACCAAGAATATTTTTTAAAGAGTTGAGTAGATAGGTGTTTGATGAATGGCTAGAGGATTTGATTGTTTAAAAAGTATTTTAAATTAAATTAAACCATATAGATACATTATGGCCAGTTTAAATTGCTATTCAGTTTAATTAATACAAACTCTGCTTTTATATTTAAATTTTCTTATCTGAAATATTTATAAATTCTTTTTTTGAATTTAATTACCTGACCTCATTTAATATACATCAAACACAAATACAGTTTGTAGAAGGTCTTGCTTTTTTAAATGTTTCATAACCACTGAGAAGTTACCTGTCTTAAACATCTGGGAACATTTGAAGAGGGTAAGTGTTTATAGTAGTGTGTGTTGCAAGTAAGAAAGTGCCATCTTGTGGTATTGACTTGTATTTATAAGCAAATAAAGTGCTAAAGAGTGAGAAAATTGCTTCTGGTATGTTGAATTAAATGTGTGTAAACAACACTCAGTCTTTTACTGTGTCTGAGATTAGACTTGGATTTCAAACAATTCTGGCATATTTTGTGCTGTAGTGATTAGTGAAAGAAACATTGTAGACAAGTACAAGTCAAGAGAATAATTGCAGATCTGGAGAATGCTTGGTCTTATTTTTAGCTCGGTGGTGCTGCTTATTTCAATAATCAGAGAGAAGAGAATAGAAAAAAAAGAACTGTTACCAGCGTAGCACCTATTCGGTCCATCTCAATCTGCAGTTGCTTGAGTGGATCATCACAATAGAAGACATGACTAGGGTAGAAGGCAATGCCCGTCCTTTTATGTTGCCATTCACAGCTTTGTAAAGTGATTTGATTATTACAGTTTCATTGAAAAAATGATGGAGTTGTAGATAGATTTCCCTTCCCAGGTCAGGATCCACCCATCCAGCATTTCGTTCATGGCAGATGATATTGTGTCATCAAAGCAAGGTCGGGAATGCATATTCCTCTTCTCGCATTAAAAAAAAAAAGATGAATGGAATTGCAAACGAAAATCATCTTATTTAATTATGGCCTTGAAGATGTTCTGCTGACCCTACTTTCTACCTTAGAGCTATAACTATTTATAGTAAGAAGGAAGATCTGGTGTTGCCCAGTAACATCGGGGGACTAAATAAATTTTTAACAGTGATCTGTACTGAACATTTGAGTAATATGTATAGTGTAAGAGTTACATGGGGAGTAATAATCTAGTGCTATTAGGAAGAGTACTGCCATATCATAATATATTTTGTCTGCAGTGTGCAATGTGAGCAGAATGGTACTCTGGATAATGAAGGCATACACTCAATTAAGTATGTTGTTCAAATGGCATTGGAATGGGAAAGTTGGTGTAATAATAACAAAAAATGGCTGCTGCAACATGTGGTCATTGCCCTCAGCATCAAGGTAAATTACAGCCCAAATCCATGATGTCCAGCACAGGAGGTATGGGTTGTGTGGTTAACTGCTTGGGGGAGGCAAGGAGCTCCAAGTACAACACCGCAAAGTGTGGTGAGCAGGTGGATGTGGGGTTGTGCTTCAGTTTGGCAGTCTTCATGCAGTCTATGTCCCAGCTCGTGCTATAGCACCTTCTGGCCAAAGCACCACGGGGGTCTCCAGAGGGACTGGCTGTATTTCATGCTGGGGCTGGGCACTGCTTGTGGAGCTGCTGGCTTTGCAGGGTGGTGTTGCACAGGGCTAAGGGACGTCTGCTACAGAGCTCTTGCACTTCAGTGATGTCCTTTATCGAATGAGTAAACCTGTTCGGCTTTGTAAAATAAAATAAAATAAAACGAAGGGAAGGCTCATGAGGCTGCTGCTTGAGACAGCCGCTGCTTAGCTTGTGCTTGTATTCGTGTGTAGAAAAAGAGCCTAATTTTGTAGTTTCTTTGCTTAAGTGCACTTACATTCATGGCCAGTTTCATCAGGAAATGAAGAAGATATTATCTTTGGGGAAAAAAAAAATCATTTGAGTACTTCTATTTTCAATTAGTCCTGGTAAGTATGAAATTACTATTTGCTGCTAACATGGCATGGATGATTTCCTGAAAGATTTACGATAGAATCATAGAATGGTTTGGGTTGGAAGGGACCTTAAAGCTCATCTAGTTCCAACCCCTCTGCCATGGGCAGGGACACCCTCCAGTAGACCAGGTTGCTCAAAGCCCCATCCAACCTGGCCTTGAACACTCCCAGGGATGGGGCAGCCACAGCTTCTCTGGGCAGCCTGTGCCAGTGCCTCACCACATTCACAATAAAGAACTTCTTCCTTATATCTAATCCAAATCTCCCCTCCCTCTGTTTAAAGCCATTTTCCATTATCCTATTCCTACCGGCTGTTGTAAAAAGTCCCTCTCCAGATTTCTTGTTGGCCCCTTTAGGTATTGGAAGGCTTCTCTGAGGTCTCCCTGGAACTTTCACCTCTCCAGGCTGAACAACCCCAACTCTCTCAGACTGTCTTCATAGGAGAGGTGCTCCAGCCCTCTGATTATGTTTTTTTGAAATACATAACTTAATTTGCATTTATTAATGGAAGGCAAAATGTAGTTTAAATATAATTTTGGGGTTTGTTTTCAATTGGGAGGTAGTAATGCAGAAAGAAAATTATCTAACTCAGGATCTTTTGAAAGATGGACCACGATACCTTAATGTATTAATGTGCCTCAGGACAGATTATGGTTCTGTCTGGTTTAAAATGTAATTTAAATGAATTAACTTCCACATCTTGCAGCTGTGACATGTGCCTGTCCTGGACAGGAGCTTGATTTATGTTATCTTTATGAAGATGTATCTGTGCTCATACTATTAAGCACCATCAATATGCATGTGTTACTGGATTCTTGGAGCCACGACCTGACAGGTGACTCTGTTACTGTCATTTATCTGCTGACATGACTTGTGCCACTGGCCATGCTGTTAAGCTGTTGTGATGTGACATGACCTGACTTGTAACGCTCGCAGTGGGTCATGCCTTCTGTTTCTGTCAAACATGGAAGATAAAGGAAGTTGCATGTAATTCCTCCTGGTCTTGCTGCATCTGCAGAGAAAGGAATCTCTCTAGGTTGAGGCAGTCACCCTTGCCTGGTGCAGCTGCATGGATGGGGATGTGATGTGTTAAGGGATTGTTACTGGTTGAGGAAGTTGCACAGCTCTGAGGTTGCCTTAAAGAAGTCTGTCTGACCCCTCAGGATAACTAGGACTAGAAACAGGAGTGTAAAAACCTGAGGAATTCACCTGAACTACCATTAAATAAATGGAATCGTGCAGAGTAATTTCATGTTTCTACCTGGTAGAACAAAATGAAAGGAGAGTCTTGCTGTGAAGTCTGATAGCACAGGACCCCACTGTCCCTTGAAATGCGTTATTATTTGGCCACGCTTTGTGATTTGGTTACATTTACATTTGGGGAGAAAAGACTAGATTTAAATGAATACTTATAACGGTAATCATGGCTTTCTGCATGAATCTTTAATGTATAACCTTGTCCTCCAATCAAATATAGTTTATTCTTAATTTAAATGTAAACATATGGTAAAATTATCACATATGAAATGTCTGAGAGAAGAATCCAGAAACCCCATATTTGCATCTGTTGGTAATTATGCTTATTTACTTTGATTACATGCTTTGTTACAATAGCATGTAGAATGGACTCTAGGTGGATACATGGGTTAAAGCAATTTATGGGATTTATCCTGTCTATGAAGAGATGTTTTGATGGAATGAAAAATCAGATTCAATTTCCTCTGATAAGGAAGAATATTAACTTTCTCCTCTGCTTTATGAAAGTTCACCTGCATGTTACGAATATTGTGGTTGTTACATGCCAATATGACATTTGGAAAAAAACTGTCTTCAAACATAATAACAGTGAAGAATCTTTCAACAGTACATGGATGAAGTGGAGCACCAAGCATTAATTTTACAGATGAAGAAGATGGCAGGTTTCTTTTTTGGATGCAGTCTGGCTTCTACCCCATGTAGCTTCGAGTACCTTTTCTTGCAAAAGTATCTGAGCACATGAATGCAGCCCAGAAATGGTGTTTCTAGGCTGCTGCTATTGGCCAATAATCACAGCACTGTGCAGCAGTAGGATTAGGCCACGGAGCAATGTGACATTTCCTCTCTTCATTGCAACTAGCCTTTGGTAACAATGTTCTGAAACTCAGGGTTAGCAGAAATTACTGTAGTTGGTGTCACTCATCTGACACTGCTGTAGCATCAATCAAAACTGTATGTGGAGATGGCAAAGGAGGGATTATCTGATCCAAAGTCAGTAAATGATACGAATTGATTTCACTTAGACATGAGAAGATCATTTGGCGGTTATTACCTGTTGCTTCCTTGATGTTTTCCTACCTTCAATGTCCTTTACAAATATGAATTCATCAATCCTGAAACACTTAATGTGGCAAATCAAGTGATTTATCTACACAATCTGGTTTTACCGTCTACATTTCTACATTGCTAGTCAATTTAGTTCAGTGATTGGATTAGAGAAGAACATCCCGTCAATTGATGGGTCAGACCAGTGAAAGGTGCAAGCATACCATGAGAACTGTGGTCTGTGGCTGCTTTTCTGCAGCAGAAAGGTTAAGCGTCTTGGCTTGTGTGCACAATTGTATCCGAATTTATTAAAGTGGTATAGTTGGAGCCTGCCTGAGGATGGAAATCCAGGATTGTTTCAGTGATAAGGTGCAACAGGGATTTAATCCATCATCTTCCTTGCTTTGAGAAAAAACAATGCTGAAAATCCACGGTCACAGGCGATATCAGTTTTTTTCCTATTTGTAGTGGACGTTTTAAGTCTTTTCCTCTGATGAAACAAAAGCTTTGTCCTCAGATAAGCAATCCAAAGCAGGACTTTCGGTAAGAGATCTCTCTATGACAGAAGGGTTTGTTCTTCCAACATACACAATGTAGAACTTCTGGAGATTGTAGCCCAGCTGAAGCACCAGTGAACTGTTTGCTTTGAGAGGTGTAAGAAG